ATATGACACAATCTCTTCCACTTAAGAAGCGTATTAATTTCACAGTGAGCATCACGATGCAAGTACCACCAGCAGGTAATATTTGGTACCTAAGATACTAAACTTAGTACTTTCTTATTTGTTTTAAATCTACCATAAATCCAAGATTTTAAGTCTTTTATCATTAAACTATGAAAATAACTGAGTTTTATGTCTGTGCTTAGTCAATAGTGTTATTAAGTAAGGAAATAACCAAACCAAACAAAAACTTCAGTAGGTAGTACAAACAGACATAAAAAGTCCACACAATAAATAATCTTATTCATTTTAACTTGATTTGGAATGTTTTCCATTTACAATATTTCAAACCTTTATTTATTCAATAATACTTTTAGAATGCTACATGAAGAATCATAAATGATTATGTTTTCAAGTCTTCTACCAAATTCTCCCATTTCTCTGAATGCAACTAAATTACTCTATGGCAGTGTGAGAGACCACTAAAATAAGGGGGCTCCTGGAAGCATTCCTTTACCAAATTCCTTGGCTTTGGAACCAGGTGATTCTGGATGTGAATTCAGGCTGCGACACTAAATTCATTTGTAAAATGAGGTTATCTGTGAAATGATAATATCATTGCTCATTTCATAAGATTATTGGGAGGTATGAATAAGACAATGTAAGTGCCTAACATGGTGCCTGGCACATATTAGATGCTAAATAATATCTGCTGTCTTTCAACTTCTATACCAAGTGTACTCCCTCTTTCCCTTCCTAGAAAGCTCAGCCTCCTGATACTGGCATTCAGACCTCTGCTGAGGCTTGTTTCCTGCTCACCCTATCTAATACAACACGAATACGTACACATGCACACACCCCATCATTCTCTAACCCCTCACCTTGCCTTATTTTTCTTTGTAGCATTTATTACTATGTTACACATTATACATTTATTTATTAGCTCAATAAAGGCAAGTAGCTAAGTCAAATTGTTGTTGAATTCAGTGTGGAAAAGACAATTGGAAAGAATGAGTTTGAAACACTTTCCTAAGAATCTATGGACTTCAGCCCTCAGGTGTCTTTGCAAGTGTTTTTAAATTCTCACCATATTTTAAGGAAATTAATACATTTTGGGTGATTAAAAAAAAAACTGTCAGGGGCTGCTTAAAGAAAAGGCTTTATTCCTATATCAAAAAGTTGG